CCACGGAGCCCCCACGGAGCCCCCGCGGGGACGGCGCCCCGCGAGCCCCGACTCCCGCGGAGCCCCCACGGAGCCCCCGCGGGGACGGCGCACCGCGAGCCCTGACTCCCGCGGAGCCCCCGCGGGGACGGCGCACCGCGAGCCCCGACTCCCGCGGAGCCACCCACGGAGCCCCCACGGGGACGGCGCACCGCGAGCCCTGACTCCCGCGGAGCCACCCACGGAGCCCCCGCGGGGACAGCGCACCGCGAGCCCCGACTCCCGCGGAGCCACTCACCGAAGGCGAGACGTCGTCATCGTACTTTCTCAGCTGGTTCATGAACTCCAGGTGCTTCTTCTCCTCCTCCAGCTGGGCCACGGACTGCTCGCTCCGCTGCAGCTTCTGCTGGGTGTTGGCCAGCTCGTCCCGCAGCCACTGGTTCTCCTGGCACAGACGCCGCACCTGCGCACGCAGCTTCTGCTTCTCCGACTCCACGGCGTTCAGGTGGTTCGATAGCGCCATCATGACCTGGACCAACAGAGACGCCGATGGCGCTGCAGCGCTCAGCCTACCAAACGCCACCTTCCGCCTCCACAAGCGCCCTGGGGCGGCAGCACCAGCTGACCCTCACAGACGCACGCTCCAGAGTCCATACAAGCGCAGTTTGCTCTTTCCGATTTCCACCCTTCAGTCACCAGCTACATGCAGGGCATGATCAAGAATATTACCCACTCATCTCTCTCTCTCTCTCTGCCTCTGCCTCTCTGCCCACCCCACTCCCCAGCCTGGTGAAAATACAGCAAGGAGGCATCCATCAGCAAACCAGCTGGCTCCCGCCAGAACCCAACCGTGCTGATACCCTGACCTAGAACTTCCAGCCTCCAGAACTGTGGAAAATAAACGTCCACTGCTGAAGCCCTGACCTGACGGCATTCTATTCTAGCAGCAGGATCTGACTGAGACAACAGCTAAATTAAACGCCTCTGCCTTCCCTCTTGGGAAAAAAAAAAGAATATTGACTTGCTCAGAACATCTATTAAAAAAAATTACAATTTTTTTCTATCTGAAAGCACCTCTAAAGGACTAGTGGTGGACAGGCAGCAACTGTTCTGACGAAGCTGTGTTCGTTTATTTTTTACCTAGGTGGTGCCAAGAGAATTTCTCAGAGACTCTTTGCCATGAGCAAACGCAGGCACACACACAGATGCATGTGCAGAGTGGGCTGCAGACGGGGCAAGTCGTCCTCGCCACTGCAGGGGAGGAGGGAGGCTCCGTGGCCAACAGCGAGAGCCAGGACGCCCTGACACACTCGCAGGCGGAGGTCCCCGCCGGGCTCTGCCGGGGATACACTGATGGGCCTCAGGGAAGGGCCAGCCTGCGGCAGAGACATGTTCCTGGGAGGACAAGGGCTGTGGAGGAAGGCTGGCTTCGGTCGGTCTGTCCTCTCGGCAATCCGTGCACCTGCCCTGCCTTCTTATTATCCTCCCAGGTCTAAAACCTGAATGTCTAGGATAAGGGGCTCTTCCCTCCTCCTCCTTTTAACTCCAATATCTGCCAGCCTGACAAAGGAGGCTCACACTCACAGACAGTGAGCTGCTGGCCAACATTCATTCACCCTGCTTCCTCAGGCTTAAGAACCTGGAACTTTAAGGGGCAAGGCACCATTCTTCAGTGTCCCTCACAACTAGATGTGCCCGTGGAACCAATGAAATGCAAGCAGAGTGCCGGGCACAGTTCAAGGAAGTAGAGGGAGGCACGACCTCCCTGCGCCCTTCACAGTCCCAGGACGGGCTCACGTGGCAGCAGCTGGACCCTGTCTTGGTCCATGAGACAGGCGGGCTGGGGTGCAGGGCAGCAGGGGCAGGGACCCAACAGCCTGAGAACCTGGGCTGGACGGGGTTTGGTCTGTACAGATGCGACAGGGCAGGTGCTGGCGAGGTGTCTGGCTTTCTGGGGAGAGGCAGGAAACCGGAGGCCAGTTGCAGGCTGGAAAGTGAGTGCAGCGTGTCTGCATGCCCCCCCCACCCCCCGTGTCAGTGAGGGGCGTCTCCTCCCTCTCCTGAAAAGGGCAGTGGAGCTGTCTGGGACGGCCCACCGCAGTGACGCAGTCTACCTCCGACACGTGAGCGGACGCTTTTGCTTTTGTGCAGCTGAATCAAACCCCAACTGACACCAAGGCTTACCTCTGTTTTCACTCTACTTTTTAAAACTGAGGCATGCCCCAATCACTCATCGTTTGCACAGCATACATAACCCGCATATAAGATGACTTCGGTTATTCTGTATCTGCCCTCTAGTTTAAACCTCATATTCCAAACAGTCTCCGTTTTCCCAGACTGGGAAGTTCACGGTCATGTCATGAGACCGTACCTGAGCCTCACTCAGGCCAAGCTCCAGCATCTCCAGGGACTTTCGGATCATGTTTGATTTCTCCTCCACCAGATTACTTTCATCATCTTTCTTCAAACACTTCAGTGTCTCCAGTAAACTCTGCAAAATGGAATTATGCTCATTCTTCAGAGCTTCCAGCCCCTGGATCACTTGCTTTGTCTTGGAGATGATTTCATCCTGCGTGAGCTTCTCCAGCTTGTCTTCCTTCATGTACACCATTGTGGACATGTTGTCATGCATTCTAGAACGGAAAAAGGAGAGAGTCAGACATCGCATTACAGGCTTGATTTACATTACACCTTTTGCAAAGCACACATATGAAGACTTTTAAATCAACACTTTTACAGGTAAACAATAAGTATATTATGATTTATTCCCTTGAGATACTATAAATGCACTGTTTCTGTTTTTCCTTTGCAGACCAAATTAATTATTTTTCTGGCTTATGTCTGAATTTTTTTACAGAAGAAACGACAGTAAAGCCAAACATTAAAAGCAGCACAACAGGGAGGGGGGATCAGGACGTAACTCCATGGCTGACTCACGTCAGTGTGTGGGATGGGGACACATGTAACTCCATGGCTGACTCACGTCAGTGTATGGGATGGGGACACACGTAACTCCATGGCTGACTCACGTCAGTGTGTGGCAAAAACCACTACAATACTATAAAGTAATTAGCCTCCAACTAATAAAAATAAATGAAAAAATAAATAAATCAATAAAAGCAGCAGAACATCCAAATGACATTTCCAAGACACAAGGTCTCAGTGAACAAATTTCCTCTGAATGTTTACCAGCTTTTTTCTCTTAATGAAAAGAAGAAAGTGAAAGTGAAGTCGCTCAGTCCTGTCTGACTCTTTGTTATACTTAGCCTACCAGGCTCTTCCCTCCATGGGATTCTCCAGGCAAGAGTACTAGAGTGGGTTGCCATTTCCTTCTCCAGGGACGAAATGCAAAAGGGTCAGTAAATTCCATCGCATATTTACCCAATAAAACCTTGAGAAGCAGTCACAGCTAGAAAGAGAGAACCCAGCAAAGGAACGCAGAGCAATCAGAGTGGCAAGAGGACTGCGCTGACTGCAGCCTGGTGACACAGGAGACAGCAGCACGGCCAGTGCTGGGGAGATGCCAGGGGACGCCTCTGGTGGTCCAGTGGGTGAGCATCTGCCTGCCAACCTGGGGGACATGGCATCCACAGGCTGCAGAACAACTGAGCCCGTGAGCCATGAGTGAGCGCTTGCTCTAGAGCCAGGAGCCGCAGCAGAAGCAGCTCACACACTCCAACCAGAGAAAACCCACCGGCAGCAACCACAACCCAGCACAGCCAAAGAGCTAAACAATTAAAAACTACAAGAGCACAGCAAGAGGGAGAAGGAATGTGGAGAAGGGCACAACACACAACAAGGTGTGTGTGTGCGAGTGAGGAGGGTGTGTGTGTGTGTGTGTACGGTGGGTGGGGGTGTGTGTGCATAGGGTGTGTGTGGGTGTGTGTGTGTGTACGGTGGGTGGGGGTGTGTGTGCATAGGGTGTGTGTGTGTGTGTGTGTGTGTACGGTGGGTGGGGGTGTGTGTGCATAGGGTGTGTGTGGGTGTGNTCTTGTCTTACGGGGTCCCAGCTGGTACCGCAAAAAGGGAAAAAAAAAAAAAAAAAGCCCGGGCGTGAACGCGAGTGAGGAGGGTGTGTGTGTGTGTGTATGTGTGTGTGGAGCGGGGGGGAGGTCGGGGGTGAAAAGGGGGACCAGGGAGATTTACTATTGTCTCTGGCAGCCGCCGCAGGAGACCGGGATGGGGGCGGAGGCAGTGGCCGCAGCCAGCACACCATTCGCTCCACCTGATCTCGGGGCGCTCTGCGCTGAGGAAGGCGCGGGAGACCAGGGGCAGAAGGAGGAGAGAGGCAGGCAGCTGCTGCAGCCACCGCCACCATGTCCGACCAAGGCAAGAAGAACATTCCGCGCATCACGAGCGACCATCTTCTGACCAAGGGAAGCAGAATCATCAATAATGATCAATCCTTTTATGCTGATATTTACATGTAAGATGGCTTAATAAAGCAAACTGGAGACAATCTGTCCCTGGAGGAGTGAAGACCATCGGGGCCAATGGGAAGATGGTGATCCCTGGAGGTATCGATGTCCACACTCCCTTCCAGATGCCATACAAGGGCATGACCACAGTGGATGACTTCTTCCAAGGGACCAAGGCTGCCTCAGCGGGCGGCACCACCATGATCACTGACCATGTGGTGCCCAAGCCCGAGTCCAGCCTGACGGAGGCTTGTGAGGAGTGGCAGGAGTGGGCCGATGGCAAGAGCTGCTGCGACTACGCCTTACACGCGGACCCACCCACCGGAACGACAGCATCGAGCAGGAGGCGCGGGGCCTCATCAAGGACAAAGGGGTGAACTCCTTCCTGGTTTACCCGGCCTACAGGGATTGGTGTCAAGTGTCCAACACGGAGCTGCAGGAGATCTTCACGTGTCTGGGGGAGCTGGGGGCCATCGCTCAGGTGCACGCTGAGAACGGGGACATCACCGCCCAGGAGCAAACCTGGATGTTGGAAATGGGGATAACTGGCCCAGAAGGCCATGTGCTGAGCAGACCAGAGGACCTGGAAGCTGAGGCTGTGTCCCGAGCCATCACTGTTGCTAGCCAAACCAACTGTCCTCTCTACGTTACGAAGGTCATGAGCAAGAGTGCGGCCGACCTCATCTCGCAAGCCAGGAAAAAAGGAAACGTGGTCTTTGGTGAGCCCATCACTGCCAGCCTGGGCACGGATGGGACCCATTACTGGAGTAAGAACTGGGCCAAGGCAGCTGCCTTTGTGACATCCACCTCTGAGTCCTGACCCGACCACTCCAGACTACATCAACTCCTTGCTGGCCAGTGGAGACCTGCAGCTCTCTGGGAGTGCCCACTGCACCTTCAGCACTGCCCAGAAAGCCATCGGGAAGGACAACTTCACAGCCATTCCCGAGAGCACCAACAGTGTGGAGGAGCGCATGTCTGTCATCTGGGACAAGGCTGTGGCCACGGGAAAAATGGATGAAAACCAGTTTGTGGCCGTGACAAGCACAAATGCTGCCAAGATTTTCAATCTGTATCCTCGCAAGGGAAGAATATCCGTGGGCTCTGACAGCGACCTGGTGATCTGGGATCCAGATGCTGTCAAGATCGTCTCTGCCAAGAACCACCAGTCGGCTGCAGAGTACATCTTGGAGGGCATGGAGCTGCGCGGGGTTCCTCTGGTGGTCATCTGCCAGGGCAAGATCATGCTGGAAGATGGCAATCTGCATGTGACCCAGGGGGCTGGCCGCTTCATGCCCTGCAGCCCCTTCTTGGACGACGTCTACAAGCTCATTAAAGCGCGGAGGAAGACGGCGGACCTGCACGCCGTGCCCAGGGGCATGTACGACGGGCCGGTGTTCGACCTGGCCACCACGCCCAAGGGGGGCACCCTCGCTGGCTCCACCTGGGGCTCTCCCACATGGCCCAACCCGCTGGTGAGGAACCTGCATCAGTCCGGATTTAGCCTGTCAGGCACCAAGTGGATGAGGGGGTCTGCTTGTCCAGCAAGCGCATCGTAGCGCCCCCTAACATAATATCCCTGAGTTAAGCGGCCCCTCCCCCAAAGAGAGGGGCAGAAGCAAGAAGAGATTCTTTTGAAGCCAAAATGGTACACCAATATTTAAGAAGGAAAGCGAATCCAAACAGTTTCGATCTAAAGAATCAATAAGCCTCAAGCCTTATGTTTCTCCAATGTTAACCCTCGCTTGCCTAGCTTTACGAATATTGCTTTGATTTCTGTTGATGCATAGCCTGGATTTGTTTGACGCCCCTCCCCCATTTACATGCATGCAATCAGGCCACTAAGGCAAAGCGTCTGCTATATAGTGTTGAGAGCGTGTGTAGTGCTGCATCTTACGAAAAGGGGACAGACAAGCGGGGACGGCAGGAAAACGAACAAAAGGGACGCCGGTTATTTGGGGTGAGTGGGTGGTGGGAACCCAGAGCAAGGCGGAGGGCTCAGAGGGGCTGGGGTAGGGTGTGGACGGGGGAGGCGGGTGGGTGAACATAGCGGGTCTTGTGTATTGTGTTGAGGAAGTATGTTAACTTCCACGAAATATGGCCGCTCGGGGCAGCCGGTACTCCACCATCGGCCCCTGGGGTCCGCAGACAAGGAAGGCGATCTTTGGGTTCGGGACTCTGTCATGTCTTCTCCTAGTAGATTTTATCCCTTGGAACATTTTACTAAAACACCAGAACCCAACCATTGCTTCCAAAAAATAAAAAAGGTCAGCAAAGCGGTGATGACGGCTGAAAAGAAGCAATGGCTCTTTTTACTATCAGCTCTTAGTTTTACTATCATCTCTGCTTTTAAATCCTGTAATTCATTTAAGGCCATAAACAGTGACCATCAGGAAAGCCTGTTCAGGAGAGTGACAGGGATGGAAGTCGGAATCCACCATGTCAGGGTGATTTCCCGCAGAGCACTTGCGACACCGAATCTTTGTTCTCTCATTGTCTTCTCACGTCCCCGTGGATGTGAGCTCTATTTAAAAGGCAGGAGGACCCCATCCTGTAGCCTGCCAGATGCACATTACCCAGGACAGCTCCCACACCCACAGACCACCTGGTGAATGGATGGACTGACAGACGCTGGGCACAGGGAAGTGGCTTTTTTGCAGGATATCAGTTCCGAACCAGGGACTGAACTGAGGCCACAACAGTGAAAGCACAGAGGCCTCACCACGGGGCACTCCCAGGGAGCAGGGTGGAGGCAGTGAATGCAGACCAGGGTTCCAGGATTCGGGAGTGAGGCTCGAAGACCCCTGGGGAGGAGAAGGAGGAGACGCCCCTCACTGACAATGGGGGGGGGGGACACACAGACACGCTGCACTCACTTTCCAGCCCGCGACTGGCCTCAGGCTCCCTGCTTCTCCCCAGAAAGCCAAACACCTTGCCAGCAACTGCTCTGTCTCTCTGTACAGACCAAATCCTGTCGGGTTGTAAGGATGAGCAGTGTCACACCTCTACAGGTTGTAGCGGTGGCTGAAAAGGGGAGTGGGGACAGTCATGTTTACAAAAAAGAGAAAGGGGGACAGAGTGTTTGCATAAAAGCAGGGAGACCACACAAGGCAGAACGAAGTGAAGAGACTGGCCATTCCAACCAGGAGACGCCTCCGTTAAGTAACTTCTGTAACAGTTTTAGCCATACACAGGAATGACGAGTACAAATGTTATGTGGATGCGTGCATGCATGCGCACGCGCGCACACACACCACCAAAAAGAAGTCACTTAAGGCAGATCTTTTTAAAACTCTCAAAAGAAAATTAATCACAGAGTCCAAATGCTCCTGGGCCCACAGCTCTCAGGGTGCAGTGGGCAGCCTGAGGCCTGGCTCTGCCACAAGCCATCCCCACAGCGCGGCAAGGCCCAAACCTCCTGGGCGCTGTGGGCGGCAGCCGCCCCCGCAGGCGCTGGGGCGTGGAGGGGGGTGCAGGCAAGGCACGAAGCACAGCGCCACGCAGGACTCGGCACTGCCCCCCCCCCAGGGGCTGAGGTGTCAGGAACGCCCGACAAATGACCTGGCAGGTCTGCAGACGCAGGCCCATAGCTCAGCGCTTTACTGGACAGTTCCGTGGTAGACGGCCCCAGACTTCAGTTAGGGACTGAGTCCTCCTGCCACGTTGATACCACCTCCCCTTGTAACTTCTATCCACTAAAGACTTACAAACTCTGCCCTCTACAATAAACACAAAATACCTTCACTACCTCATCCACAAGATAACGTTTCAAATACTGTGTTACAAGAACAAGACTCTCCAAATTGTCCATCTCCTCAGGCACACGCCTTTATCCTAACAGCTTCCTTACCTCCCATCGGGATCACCACCACACAGACACAACTCTGCCCACTGCTTCATCACAGGGCAGCACACAGTGGCACCGAGATTTAGTCTGTTCACTCTCTCCCTCATTTGCAAGCTAGCCCATTATAACCAAAGGTGGGGTACATAAAAAATAGCACTAAGGCAACAGTCTATCGAGGTGGAAAGAAGATGCATTCCTACCCTCACTATACACTAAAATAAATTCCATAGTGAATAAAGAATTAAAGGTAAAAAAAACACCACAAGAAACCAGAATAAAATTTAGGCAAATATCTATACACATACAGATGAAGGTAAAGAGCATCCTATGAATAAAATAGCAGAGAACTAGAAGGAAAGACAGATAAGAACTTATGTAAACGAGGTCCCTGGCGGCCAGGTGGTTATGGTTCTTTGCTCTCACTGCCTGGGTTCAGGGCCTGGTCAGGGAACAAATATCCCGCAAAACACACGACGCAGCCAAGAAATATCTCCCACTAAAGTCTGATCTGGAAACCACCTTTCTGAGGAAACACTATTTTGCAGACCATCACAGTGAAGAGCTCAAAGATTTAAGGCAGAGGGTCACAGTGACGTCTAAAAGGTAAAAAATACTGGCGTCCAGATGATCTCAGACACCCGGGTTCGTCAGCCCTCCCTCCAAGCCTGCTGAGGAGTGTGCCCTGAGGAGACCACGCAGGAGGACTCAGCCAGCACAGGCCTGGCCCTGCTCACAGGTACCCGGGGAAGCAGCATCAGAGGCAGCGCATCTGAGTCCAGTCAGACACCCTGCCTTTCGCTCACCCGCCTCGTGAACTCCTGGAGCCGTGATCTCACCGCACGTCAAGTGGCACGGATACACACCTGACCTGGGACGTGGTTAAGGGCTCAGAAATACTCCCCTCCCTTCCCCTCAGCGACACACACAACATCTGGCCTCAGGCTATTCTAATTAACCACGTGAAACTGTTTCAGTTCAATCGCTCAGTCCTTGTCCAACTCTTTGCGACCCCATGGACTGCAGCACCCCAGGCTTCCCTGTCCATCACCAACTCCAGAAGCTTGCTCAAACTCATGTCCATCGAGTTGGTGATGCCATCCAACCATCTCATCCTCTGCCATCCCGTTCTGCTGCCTTCAATCTTTCCCAGCATCAGGGTCTTTTCCAAGGAGTCGGTTCTTCGCATCAGGTGGCCAAAGTATTGGAGTTTCAGCTTCAGCATCAGTTCTTCCGATGAATATTCAAGACTGATTTCCTTTAGGATGGACTCGTTGGATCTCCTTGCAGTCCAAGGGACTCTTAAGTGTCTCCTCCAACACCACAGTTCAAAAGCATCAATTCTTCGGCACTCAGCTTTCTTTACAGGCCAACTCTCACATCCATACATGACCACTGGAAAAGCCATACCTTTGACTAGATGGACCTGTGTTGGCAAAGTAATGTCTCTGCTTTTTAAAATGCTGTCTAGGTTGGTCATAACTTTTCTTCCAAGGAGCAATCATCTTTTAACTTTATGGCTGCAGTCACCACCTGCAGTGATTTTGGAGCCCCCAAAAAATAGTCTCTCACTGTGAAATTGTTTACTGTGCTTTTATTTCCAAAAAGAGAACTCTTTAAAGTCCCATTATTCCTCTGGGAAAGCAAAGGAACTAAATACTTAACTGCATGATCTCCAAGGCAGAACCTGAGAAATCCAACATCTGAATTAAGTTCCTAAAACAAGTTCTTCTTCCTATCAAATCTCTTAAATCCACAGTTCAACAGGCAAAGCTATTATTACTAAGTTCCAACTCTCAGGATTCAAGTCCCCAAAAAATTCTCTACCCTGACTGCAAATGGTAAGAGTCACTAAGTAAAATAATGAAGACAAAAATAACCCTAAAGCTTAACTTTAGAACTATTTTTGTTTCCATTATTTTAAACACTGATTCAATCTCTGTAATTTTTATCCAACAGTGTATATAACAGGTTTTTAGAGAAGATTTACTCGGCTGCATCGGGTCCTAGCTGTGGCACAGCAGCTCTCTCCTCGGGGCACAGACTCTCCAGTTGTGGTTTGCAGATTTAGGTGCCCCATGGCAGGGGTTAGGGAATACTCAGTTCCCCAACCAAGGATCGAACCTGGGTCCCCTGCATTGCAAAGCATAATCTTAACCACTGGACCACCAGGGAAGTCCCAGTGTAACAGCTTTCATAGGCATTTTCAATACACAGGAGTCGCAACAGACGTAGAGAGCAGACGCGTGGTTGCCAGGGGCGGGGAGCTCGGGATCAGCGGATGTAACTATTCACACAGGACGGATGAAGAAGGCCCTGCTGCAGAGCGCAGGGAACTAGATTTAATACGCGGTAACAAACACAACGGAAAAGAGTGTGTGTGTCTGTAAACAACTGTACTTCAGTAAATCGCACACACACACACACACACGAGTCGCATGTCCAAGGATTTATTGCAATCATTCATTCATCTGACCACACTGTGGTCAGAAATTGAGAACTAATAAGAATCTAGCTTATCTCCACATTTAGACCCTCAATTAAATCCTGCCTGGAGCATTCCGTAACCTAAAAATAACTCTTACTTCTTTTTAAAATGCCACTTGAAAAACACAGTGCTCCTTTTGAAAGGCTGTCCTGCCCCTGGGAAACACAGGAAAGCAAAACACGAGCCCTTCACTAAGGGAGGGACTAAGTCAGTGCACGCTCAAGCCTGAAACAAGATGGACAAGGCCAGCGCCTCACTGGTCTCTATGACACGTTCTCCGAAACAGAGGCAGGGCGAGGCTCGGGGCGCCCGGCCGCAGGAGCGCGCGCACGGGCAGCCTCGAGCGCGGCAGACGCTGACCTGCACGTCCCGCTCCTTTGGCTCTGCTCTGACGTCCTCTGTGAGAGGTGACGCGCCGACCGCTCACACCACACACTACAAGCATCGCTCCTTTCAATTTGTTCCTTAACATAACTTGTGCTTTATGACAAGAGTGGCTTTTTACTTGCTCTAACACACCAGATTTCTCTGAAGAGAAATCTTCAGAGTTACAACTAACGCCTGCCAGAACGACAGGAATGGAACAGTTTAGATGGACAATTCGGTACGATCTTAGCTTGGGGCTCTAAACTGAGAAAAAAGACTGCCAGGTCCAGTGAAGCCTGGCAGGGACATGGGAGAACTAAGCTCGGCAACACCAGAGAGAAGCCGGAGGATGCCTCCTCAACTCGAGCAGGCCTACGGACCAGGCAGCGGGGCCTCGCCTCCGAGGGGAAGATCCCACCAGCCCAAAGACAGGAACATGCCTTCACTCAATAAATATTTACTGAGCCCCCAATTCTACACCAGACACTGTTCTAGGCTTAGGGGTTAGACTTTACCAAAGGACTATTTCTTAAAGAAAACATTG